AGGTGGCATTGTGTTATACATGTTCATGCATCATGCTTCACTGTAAGATGGTCATGTACTTTTATCAAGGTGCATGACAATTTTTTTGAAGGCGTGACTGTGGCCTTCTCTGACCTTTTATGACCTTTTGTGACCTTTGTGACCGTGACCTGTGCCGATGTACGATTACAGTTAAGAGACGCTTTTTAATTTTTTTCGGCATGAGCAACAAAAGGAAGATTTGGGGTGTGCTCGCAGCCACCCGGACCACAAAGAATCTATGCCATTGACGTCTTATTTAATAGATGCTACGCCTTTTGATGTTCGCTGCAATCCGGACGACAAACATGTACCCGCTGTTACGTAGAGTCTTTGCCGCACGCCCAGCATCTTCTTCCGCCCTTTGATCAAAGTGAGACAGATATTTAAGCTGCAGGCTCAATTACAAGCCAATGTGCACACCCCTGGACCTGCCACAGATAATGAAAAATGTGTTAGACATTGCAAACAGCATTATTTCCTGTCTGCATTGTTAGGAATACGCGTAGTACGTCTGAACGTGAATGTTAGTATCTCACATGCGCGTAAACAGAAATCGTGTCGCACTGCGTACACGTCCTGCAGACAGACTCTACGTAACGTCACGTCGAACAGAAAATTCTTGGAACGCCTCAAATACAACCCTGGCAGCATCTGATTTCGTAATGGGGTTCAAAAATGACGAAAACTGCTTTATTCTTCCGGATGAAAGAGCAGACATCGCAGGCATCCACCAGAGGACAGTCCCGCACGAGGATCATAATTTTGACGCAGCAGGTAATGTAGCAGGAAATGATGGTCGCGATTGATGTGTCAACTGATGATGTGTCTGAGAAGAGATACACACCTGAAGTGTCGTATGTGAGGTGAGGTGGTTGTTTTAATTACTCAGAAGGCGTACTAGATCAGTGTCGCCGTTCGCTTGCGAACTGGGCGCCGCTGAAATTGTTGAGTGGTATGTGTGGGCATGTTGCACCTAATCTGGAGCTTGAAAATGTTAGGATATGTGTTCACACCATCAGGTTATTGAAACCAGAAGCGATTTGACTCCTGTGACATGATGATGCTTTTGAATTATTGGACGAAATATCTGGGATATCATGAATATGATGATGATCCTTATTGGCTCTGATCTCCATGCAAAATTGCGCTCCCAAAATGTCGCAAGCTATAAAAATATTAACACCCATTGGTCTGTGGCAGCTTATGACCCTTTTGAAATGGAAAGTAGCAATCAACTTCAATTCAAGATACTCAGACAAACCGAATTTGCTGTAATTTTTTCGACAGTCGTTTATGGAAAGTCGATTTGCACGGATTCACTTGATTAATTTGTTCTGGTAGGTTGGAGCGGACTACATTGGACTGATAGATCTTGGAAAAGCAGATTGACTGGGAGATTGGAACTGAACTAGCTGAACCGGACTGCACCGGATCCTGAAAATTTAGTCCGCTTAGTGTTCTACCTCGTACGTTCTGCTCCTTTACCGAATATTTCTTATGCGCTTATCTTATAGAGGTGGGTTGCCAACAATGGTTGCAGCAATACAACAACGGCAGCAGTAGGTGCCATCTGCCTCTCCCCCAACCCAACTTATAGGGAAGGTCTTGATACTAAGACTCTACAAACATTAAAAGCGACGGTGGCCTCCGCTCCTGCTTACAGCTAGATATATATCTGGCAATTATCTGAGATCAGCTGCACTTTCGCTGTTCAGCCAAAAACAAAACAGAGTTGCCCATTTGCATTAACGCTGTAATCTTGCACCGGAAACGCGTTTCTGTGCGAAAATGTGCAGAACTGCCCTCAGAGGTCGACATGGGAAGCAGTGGAGCAAGCAGAGGCTTGGTAAGAAGGGAGAAGGGATGAAGGACTGAGAAATGGCCCTAGGTAGTCAAGGGCTCCTCCCCAAAAAAACGAGTTCGATCCGTTGCATTTCGATGGGACACGATTTTCTCCGATTAATTCGTTTCTTTTTTAAAACTGAAACATAAGGCAGAGACGCCACCAGCAAATTACACTTTGTTTATATTTGGAAATGCATTACTGGAAGGGAGTGGTCGTAAAATGACTGCATGGAATCAACCACCGTCGCTATAGTGTACTTTTTCTAAACAGATGGAACTCAGAGACCTCGCCAGATTATGTTTTGGGTTCTCCAGAAATGTTGGGGACTCTGTGAACGACGGTTGTGTATTGACATTGGGTCAAAATTTGTATCGATATGTCTAAGCTATGTCCGTCTGAGAATGTCCAACCTGCAGTCAGAAATGATTGTTGAAACAAAATGTAGCATAATTCTGAGCCTGAGCGCTCGCTAGGCTTCGAAATAAAAACCCCGTCGCTTAGTATTGCATTCTACAGGGGACGCGCGTCGTCGGCCCTGGTGCTATTAGCATTTTCAGCATAGCATTAGCATTTTGCATTTTTGAGAGGCAGTTTTGGCAGATATTTCACTTGTGCGATTTTTTAGTTGGTAATGGAGCGGATTGACAATTTACAGCCCCGCCAACTTTTGATGGAACTAAAAGAGTGAAGAAGGAACACTCTAATTTGTGTGTTGCTGTAGCTATTTATTCATTCCATATGACAACCTCAACTAAAACGATAAAATATTGCGCCAGCCTCAGGTTTGAGTGGTCTGAATTGATTTTGGAAGACTTTCGGAGGCATTTTGTCACGACGGTCGTTAGCACACGCGCGCACCCGCTGCGTGGTGCTTACGTTCTTGCTCCTTAGATTGCGAGTGCACAGGCTTAAAATTTTCTCAGGTAACTTGTTCAATAAGTAGATGGTGTAAAAGGATTAACGTTCCCTGGCAAACATGCGCTGGCTTTTTTATTCTCCGACCTCATTTTGATTCACTCTTTTGAACACTAATGAGACACCTCGCCTTTTCTGGGCTAGGAGCCACGTGCGTGCACACTAAGGGGACATTATCGTTCCCGGCCAAGGGCTGAAAGTCCAATGCGTCCCACGGTGGGGTGCATACCAGTTGTCAGTCTGATGACACGGTGGCGGGTCCCCCTGATTGACCTGGAGGCACTTAAAGGAATGCATCCTGCATTGGTCCTTTCCCCGACCGGGACCGGACCTCTGTCCGGGCAGTTGGTTCCAGATTGACGCAGTAGTCCTCACTGTCGCAACAATATCTCTTACTGCGGTCCAATAACTGGCACAGATGCTCCCGTTCGGTTTAACAGGCCGTTAGCTGAAATGGCGCGGAAGGCACCCTACTCCGCAATGGGGGACCTGACCGACACCCTTTGGCTTCCTTCATTGTCCATTGTAGACTCTCATCTGAGCTCTCATATCCGCTAGACTCTCATCTGAGCTCTCATATCCGCTTTCATTGGCAGAGAGCCCTAACCAACACAAGAGATCCTCAGGCATTTGGGTCCATTTGCCGACCCTGCTCAGTAAATGTTCTCCTGGTCGGTCAGGGACCCTTACCGACAAAGGACCTGTATTAGGCCCTGTCGGCCCATGAGTGACGCAAGGTCCTCATTGTTGCAGAGGCCGCGACCAATGCAAATTGCGGCCTTGACCTCATCCCCGCTTGGCAATGGGTTCTCAGAGTCAGAACGACAGGATTTTCAAACATGAAACATTCCTTTTAGGCATGGGAATGGGCTCTCAGAGCCAGAATGACGGAGTTTCCAAATGTGAAACATGCCCCTGAAGCCTGAATGGCAAGGAGGCCTTGACCTAGACAGAAGGCACGGAATTTACCGGATTCATCGAGCTACTGAAATAAGCGTAAATAGAACAGTGTTGTTTTATTTCAGATGCCGCCGATGAGCTTCAGACGCGCCTTTTTCGCAAAAGGAATGTGCTCTTTGGTGTGATGTGCGCAACGTGCACAGGAATATTGACCCCAATCATGCGGTCTCAACTCCTTTTTCAACGCCGCTAAAAACATGTTCCAATTAGATTCATAACAACACAGCTTACAATAACATGGCTTACGATGCTTTTTTCGTAGCCGCGGGTGCCGAAAATGCATGCGTTTCTGATAGGGCCGTCATGCTTACTTACGTATAATGAATTCGCTAGAATTGCGCACTGAATGTGTGCACAAATTTACATTTAATGTACGCATGTTCTATGACGTAACCAATGTTGATAACGACAAAAACGCTGACCCAGACATCCTTCGCGACATCGCCGGGCTCTCGTCGGTTGTACAGCGGCGTGCAAGAGCTGATTCCTTGGGTCGGTCATGTGGGCGTTCTTAAGGCATACCACGATCATCAAACGGTGAAAAAGTACATGTGCACTTATTCCAACATGAGGCACAAACACGCCATTTCCGCAAAAAAACCGTCTGGACTAATCTGATTCGTTGATGCGAGTAGATTAGCAATCTTCTGCATCTGCGCGCGTCTCCGCACAAGAAAGCAGACAGCATTTATTTTGCAACTATCCAGCTTTTGACAGCAATTTTCGTACACAGACGTTTTGCAGACATCCCAACAGCAAATGTAAAGACGAATTTTCTGCTAGAATAGCGTTTGGCTAGCTACAATCAAGATTCGGTTTTTTCTATGGACACGTATGTCAGATCTATTCTTTCCGAAACTTTTCGAAGCTGTTGAAACCATTCGTTGGCATGTCTGACGCACATACGACAAAACAAATTCCCACATTTTGACTTCGCCCTGTTCATCTGCGTCCCTCTTGGTAGCTATGCCGTACTAAAACAGCTGACAAACTCAAACATGATCGACGATGAATGATGCTTAAATTAAATGATCCCCGAAGCCCGCATTGTTCCTCATAGTACTAATGTAAGTAAAAATGGCGTAGCCCGCGTAAAACACCCTCAAGCGATCCTCGTGGGTGACTATGCTGTATGATACTGTCCTATAATGTGGGAGTATTGAAGGCATGGCCAAAAAATGTAGTCAAGTCTCACATCATAACTCATTCTTAGTTGGATGCACGCAGCTTCGGTCTTGATTGTTGATGAAATGTCACGTAAACCCTTTCCTTGTCGGAGAACAAGGTATATATTAGAAACTCACACAGTCATTAGAAATCTTAGAAAATTTCAGTGCATTAACCCATTGTGAAAGTCCAATGAAGCTCATATTATTCACTCTTGTTGTGCAGCTACATTCTACACCCGCGTTGCATGTACTCGCAGCCTCTCACTGGTGGACGCGGAGGCAGGTCAGCAATATGTTCCGTCTAACCTCCGATCAGATCCTCATCGCGATCGCATAATGACAGCAGCCGTGACATTCACCGTTTAAGTTCAGCTTTAACGCCATACGATTCAGCGATAGATAGGAACGAACGGTTGACAGGAGGCCGTGGTGCCGCCCGCGTCCAGTGTGCAGCGTGTGCCCGCTTCGCACTGGGCCGAACAGGTGGGGCGGCATGACTTGTTGCACACGTAATAGCAGCATCCGTAGCCGGGGCCGCACTCCGCATGACTGTGGCAGGCGTCAGGCACAGGGCGGCACCGCACCGTAGGACCGATGTCGTCGTAGTGGCAGATGACGTCAGTCGTGGACGCGCCTGCAATCGGAAGGAGGGTGTCGATCAAGGCAACAGATGCCGGGTAGAACAAAGTTCAGTGTAAAACTGGAGTTACAAAGTAGAAATATACCAGACATATTGAAATGCACTACAGTATGCCCTACATATACTGAACATAAATACTTATGAAATGGCAGGATTTGGATAACGTTATTATGACGTCATGAATGGCTTGGTGACTTGGAAATAGTTTCCCCGAAATACTGTCCACGTCTTCGCGGGCGCGTAGCTCAGAAACTGCAGGGGTTTAGGTCTTGAGAAGGGCAGGGCTATAAACTGCACTGAATGATCTTCAAGATGGCTAGTTCAGTTCAAAACCCCATAGGAAAACGGAACACTGCTTTCAGATGGAATGTTTCCCATTTGAGGACATTGAGAGAACCATCAGATATGAGAAAACAACATCACTCATAACTATTGGTACACTTTTTAAATGGAAAAGACTGCTCTAGACAGCACAATTCTCTGCCCAGTTAATGTACTCCTCGATGCGTCATGGCTGGCTGACGTCATCACATCTTACACTGCAATGATTAGCAGCCAATTGACGACCGTTGTATCTGGCAATCGTGCCCACGAACGCCAGATATGAACGACGCGACTACGGTTTTTATTGGCCTTGATCGCCGCAAAGCTTACGGAATGGCAGGATTCAAATGACGTTATTATCGCGTCATAACTGCCAAGGCAACTTTGAAATAGTCTTTTCGATACACCTTACCCCATTTTCACGGACGTGTTGCCAAGAAACTAGAGAGACTTAGGTCTTAAAAAGGGCGAGATTATGAACGGCACTAAAACGTCTCCAAAATGACTGTGCAAGTTCAAACCTCCATATAAACGTGAGGCAGTCCCTTTAAGAGGCATTGTGTATGTAGCTTTGTCAATATACCAGTGCAGTGAAAATTAATACTAATGTTTCCACACGAATGAGAGATACGAACATCAACGGCTGTAGGTTTTCCCAGCAGGACAAATTACCAAGCCATCACCCGTGCCCAATCCTCGACAAAGATGACGCGTCTCCCCACATGTACAAGACGCACGCTTACCCGAGGCGACGTTCGCCGTCACCATCAAAAGCACCACCACCCATGCTGCCAGGGCCGCGGTCGTGTCGCGGAACATGGCTGAACTCTGCTCGCGCCGCGCCGTCGGCTTGGCTTTATGCAATGACGGCAGCCGGGTCGCGGCCGTGACAAGCGCTGCCTGGTATTTGACGGCCGTTCTGCGCACCGACAGACCGCGACGCGTTGTTGTGCAGGAACGGGGTAACTTTTCTGTCAGAACCGCGCGAAGTGTACTGCGCAGCGCTGGAGGCAGCCTTGATCACGCCGCGCGCGGCGCTACCTGTGGGGAGTGCAGGGAACATACCGGAAGGCCGGGACACGTCAGGGCAGACGCGACTGGATGAGTGGTGGGGCTGTGATGGATGACGTAACTGCGCCGCGGTGCAGGTATTGGCTGCACCTGGATGCACCTTCTCGTCTGCCAGTTGAATGCTGTCTTAGATAAACTGCAATTTGTGAGCCAACCTCGCCACCAGGAACGCATCATGAACCATGAAGAAACCATGAAGTATCGGTATTGTTGGAAATTCCTGCTGTGCAACTCTAATCCGGTATTTACCCTGGAACCAGCAGCGTCGCCACCAGTTCTCGGAAAACGACGAGCCTGTCTGGGCTGCATTTCTGCAGCTAATCTTTAAGGGAACGTGGCTGAAAAGGCACCACCATAAGCGCCCTTCAAGTATTGGATCGATCTACTGGTTGAAGATGCATCCGCGGGCCAGATAAGACCGGATCAGAAATGTCCACGGCAACATGGATTAGGACCGGACCGGATTTTCAATTTTGCGGCCTCACACAGCTTGTGTTGAAAACCAATCAAATGGAAATTATCACTGAAATAGTCGCAAAAATGCGTACTGAAGATATCAACTCAGAACCGTACCTAGCTCATCCATATATTCCAACAACAAATTTGTTGATGAACAGATCACATTGCCAAGTTAATTGTGGGTATATGTGCATCTGTGAGTGTATACGTATAGGTATCAAAAACTAGAACTCTCCTTCCTTCCAAGGTAACTAAAATGTTTTCTAATGTAATAACATATCTTGTCATAACATAGCTACTAATCCTCGTGGTCTTGTCAGCAATCTCATATAACCCTAGCAAGTGACATCATGCTATATATTTCATGCATCGCATTTCATTGTTAGATGGTTGCGCACTGTTATCAATGTGCATGACATTTTTTTTTTTGAAGGTCTGACTGTGACGTTTGGTGGCTGTGCGATGCACGATTACAGTTACGAAAAGCCTTCGTATTTTTTCAGCATGAGCAGCAAAAGCGAGATTTGGGGCGTATTCGCAGCCATCTGGACGACAAAGAATCTATGCCATTGATGCTTCAATAGATGCTACGCCTTTTGATGCTCGCTGCAATCCGAACGACACACATGTACGCGCCGTTACGTAGAGACTTCGCCGCACGCACGGAATCTTCTTCCTCCGTTTGGTTAAAGTAAGGGAGATATTTACGCGTCAAGCTCAATTACAAACCAATGTACACAACCCGGACCTGCAGCAGTAAATGAAAAGGTGCTTATACGCTGCAAACCCCATTATTTGCTGTCTGCATTGTTCGGAATACGCATAGTACGTCCGAACGTGAATGTTTGGATCTCGCGTGTACTCAAGTTACGAAGATGTAAACAGAAATCGTGTCGCGCTAAGAACGCGTCAGGCAGGCAAAGATTCTACATGACGTCACGTAGAACAAAACATTCTTGGTACGCCTCGAATACAACCCTGGTGGCATCTGATTTTGTAATGGGGTTCAAAAATGACGAAAACTGCTTCATTCTTTCAGATGAAAGAGCAAGCATCGCAGACATCCATCAGACGACAGTCTGGCGCGTGGATCATTATTTTGACGCAGCCGGTAATATAACAGGAAATAATGGTCGCGGTTGATGTGTCATCCGTTGATGTGTCCGAGAACAGAAACACACCTGAAGTGTAGTATGTGAGGTGAGGTGGTTGTTATAGTTATTCAGAAGGTGTACTAGATGAGCGCCGTCTCGCGTTTGTGAATTGGGTGCCGCTGAGATTGTCGAGTGGTATGTGTGGGCATGTTGCACCTAACCTGCGGGCTGCAATTGCTAGGAAATGTGCCCACACCTTCAGGTTATTGAAACCTGAAGCGATTTGCCCTTGTGACATGATGATGCTTTTAAGGTATTGGACAAAAAATCTGGGATTTCATAAATATGATGATGATCCTTGTTTGCTCTGGTCTTCATGCAGAATTGCGTTCCCAAAATGTCGCAAGCTACAAAAATCTTAACACCCATTGGCCTGTGGCAACTTATGACCCTTTTGAAATGGAAAAGAGCAATCAACTTCAATTCAAGACACTCAGACGAACCGAATTTGCTGTAACTTTTTTGAAAGTCGTCCATGGAAAGTCGATTCGCACGGATTCACTTGATAAATTTGTTCTGGTAAGTTGGAGCGAACTAAATTGGATTGATATATCTCGGAAAGCCAGAATGTTGGGGATCTGACCTAGCCGGACCGGGCTGCACCGGACTCTGAAAATTTAATCCGAGAAGTGCTCTACTTCACACGTCCTGTTCCTTTGGTGAATATTCCTTATGTGCATGTCTTATAGACGTGGGTTGCCAACAATGTTTGCAGCAATAAAGCAACGGCAGCAATAGGCACCATCCACGACTACCACCTACCACCACTGAATTGATAAATTTTGGAAAAGTAGATCGGCGGGGAGGTTGGATCTGAACTAGCTGGACTAGACTGTACCGAATCCTGAAAATTGAATCCGTGAAGTGCTCTACTTCACACGTCCTGTTCCTTTGCCAAATATTACTTATGCGCATGCCTTATAGGGATGGGTTGCCAACAATGTTTGCAGCAATACAGCAACGGCAGCAATAGGTACCATCAGCCCCTCCCCCAACCCAACTTATGAGGAAGGTCTTGATACTACGAGAAGCTACTCTACACACATATTAAAAGCAAAAGTAGCCTTTGCTCCTGCTTGCAGCTGGATGGATATCTGGCGTTTATCTGGGATCAGCTGCACTTTCTCTGTCCAGCCAAAAACAAAAAGGGCCCATTAGCATCAGCGCTGTAATTTTGCACTCGAAACGCGTTTCCCTCCGTAAATGTGCAGACAGATCCTTAGAGATCGAGATGTGGAGCAGAGGAGCAAGCAGAGGATTGGTAAGAAGGGAGAATGGGTGCAGTGTTGACAAATGGCCCCAGGTAGTGAAGGGCTCCTTCCAAAAAAAAGCCAGTGCAGTCCATTAAATTTCAAGGGGACGCGATTTTCTCCGTTTAATTCATTTCCCGCCTAAAACTGGAACATAAGCCAGAGGCGCTACCAGCAGATTTCATTTTATTCATATTTTGAAATGCATTACCCGAAAGAAGTGGCCGTAAAATGACCGCATGAAATCAACCACTGGCGTTTTTCATTTCACAATGGTTAAGTGTACTTTTTCTAAACCAATAGAACTCAGAGGCTTTGCCAGATTATTTTCTGGGCTCTGCAGAAATATTTAGGACTCCGTGAACGATGGTTGTGGATTGAAATTGGGTCAAAAATTATATTGACATGTCCACGCTTTGTCCGTCTGACAATATTCAACCTTCAGTCAGAAACGATTCCCAAAACAATGTAGCACAATTCTGAACCCGCGCGCTCGCGAGGCTTGGAAATAAAAACCCCGTCACCCAGCGTTGCAGTCTCCAGAGGACGCGCGTCGTCGGACCTGACGCTTTTAGTACCCGGTGGCGGCCAACGAGCAGATAAAGATGATGACTTATAGAAATGAGTGCCTGTAAACACTTCAAAGCATCATTTCGCATTTTAAAGAGGTAGTTTTGGCAGATATTTCACTTGTGCGGTTTTGCAGTTGGTAATGGGGCGGATTGGCATTTACAGCCCAGCCAACTTTTGATGGAACTGAAAGAGTTAAGAGAGAACCTCTAAGTTGTATGTTGCTGTAGCTATTTATTCATTCCATATGGCAAACTCAACTATAACGGTAAAACACATCCGCCAGCCTCAGGTTTGAGTGGTCTGAATTGATTTTGGAAGACATTCGGAGGCATTACGTCACGACGGTCTTTCGCACGCGCGCACCCGCTGCGTGGTGCTCATGTCCTTGCTCCTTAGATTGCGAGTGCACAGGCTTAAAATTTTCTCAGGTAACTTGTTCAATAAGTAGATGGTGTAAAAGGATTAACGTTCCCTGGCAAACATGCGCTGGCTTTTTTATTCTCCGACCTCATTTTGATTCACTCTTTTGAACACTAATGAGACACCTCGCCTTTTCTGGGCTAGGAGCCACGTGCGTGCGTACTAAGGGGACATTATCGTTCCCGGCCAAGGGCTGAAAGTCTAATGCGTCCCACGGTGGGGTGCATACCAGTTGTCAGTCTGATGACACGGTGGCGGGTCCCCCTGATTGACCTGGAGGCACTTAAAGGAATGCATCCTGCATTGGTCCTTTCCCTGACCGGGACCGAGACTCTCGCCGGGCAGTTGGTTCTAGATTGACGCAGTAGTCCTCATTGTCGTAACAATGTCTCTTATCGCGATCCAATAATTGGTACAGATGCTCCCGTTCGGTTTAACAGGCCGTTAGCTGAAATGGCGCGGAAGGCACCCTACTCCGCAATGGGGGACCTGGCCGACACCCTCTGGCTTCCTTCATTGTCCATTGTAGACTCTCATCTGAGCCCTCATATCCGCTTTCATTGGCAGAGAGCCCTAACCAACACAAGAGATCCTCAGGCGTTTCGGTCCATTCCCTGTCCCTGCTCAGCAAATGTTCTCCTGACCGGTTAGGGCCCTTACCAACAAAAAACCCTGTATTAGGCTCTGTCGGCCCATGACTGACGGAGAGTCCTCATTGTTACAGAGGCCGCGACCAATGCACACCGCGGCCTTGGCCTCATCCCCGCTTGTCAATGGGCACTCAGAGCCAAAACGACGGGATTTTCAAACGTGAAACATTCCTTTTAGGCTTGGGAATGGGCTCTCAGAGCCAGAATGACGGAGTTTTCAAATGTGAAACATGCCCCTTAGGCCTGGATGGCAAGGAAGCCTTGGCCCGTATAGAAGGCACGGAATTTACCGGATTCATCGAGTTACTGAAATGAGCGTAAATAGAACAGTGTTGTTTCATTTCAGATGCCGCCGATGAGCTTCAGACGCGCCTTTTTCGCAAAAGTAATGTGCTCTTTGGTGTAATGTGCGCAACGTGCACAGGAATATTGACCCCAATCATGCGGTCTCAACCCATTTTTCAACGCCGGTAAAAACAGGCTGTTCCAATTAGATTCATAACAACACAGCATACAATAACATGGCTTACGATGTTTTTTTTTGCAGCCGCGGGTGCCGAAATGCATGCGTTTATGATAGGGCCGTCATGTTTAATTACGTACAATTAATTTGCTAGAATTGCGCATTGAATGTGTGCACAAATTTGCATTTGATGTACGTATGTTCTATGACGTAACCATCGTTGATAACGACAAAAACGCTGATCCAAAGACATCCTTCGCGACATCGCCGGGCTCTCGTCGGTCGCACGGCGGCGTGCAATAGCTGATTCCTTGGGTCAGTCATGTGGGCGTTCTTAAGGCATACCACAGTCATCAAACGGTGAAAAAGTACATGTACATTTATTCTAACATGAGGCACAACCACGCCATTTCCGCCAAAAAAAAACGTCTGGACTAATCTGATTCGTTGATGCGCGTAGATTAACAATCTTCTAAATCTGCGCGCGTCTCCGCACAAGAATGCAGACAGCATTTATGTTGCAACTGTCCAGCTTTTGACAGCAATTTTCGTACACAGACGTTTTGCAGACATCCCAAAAACAAATGTAAAGACGAATTTTCTGCTAACATAGCGTTTGGCTGTCTACAATCAAGATTCGGTTTTTTCTATGGACACGTATGTCAGATCTATTCTTTCCGAAACTTTTCGAAGCTTTTGAAACCATTCGTTGGCATGTCTGACGCACATACGACAAAACAAATTCCCACATTTTGGCTTCGCCCTGTTCATCTGCGTCCCTCTTCTTAGCTATGCCGTACTAAAACAGCTAACAAACTCAAACATGATCGACGATGAATGATGCTTAAATCAAATGATCCCCAAAGCCCGCATTGTTCTTCATAGTACTAACGTAAGTCAAAATGGCGCAGCCCGCGTAAAACGCCCTCAAACGATCCTCGTGGGTGGCTATGCTGTAGGATGCTGTCCTATAATGTGGGAGTATTGAAGGCGTGGCCAAAAAATGTAGTCGAGTCTCACATCATAACTCATTCTTAGTTGGATACACGCAGCTTCGGTCTTGATCGTTGATGAAATGTCATGTAAACCCTTTCCTTGTCGGATAATAAGGTATATATTAAAAACACACACGGTCACTAGAAATCTTAGAAAATGTCAGTGCATTAACCCACTGTGAAAATCAAATTAAGCCCATATTATTCACTCTTGTTGTGCAGCTACATTCTACACACGCGTTGCATATACTTGCAGCCTCTCACTGGTGGACACGGAGGCAGGTCAGCAATATGTTCCGTCTAACCTCCGATCAGATCCCCATCGCGACCGCATAACGACAGCAGCCGTGACATGCACCGTTTAAGTTCAGCTTTAACGCCATACGATTCAGCGATAGATCGGAACGAACGGTTGACAGGAGGCTGTGGTGCCGCCCGCGTCCAGTGTGCAGCGTGTGCCCGCTTCACACTGGGCCGAACAGGTGGGGCGGCATGACTTGTTGCACACGTAATAGCAGCAGCCGTAGCTGGGGCCGCACTCTGAATGACTGTGGCAGGCGTCAGGCACAGGGCGGCACCGCACCGTAGGACCGATGTCGTCGTAGTGGCAGATGACGTCAGTTGTGGACGCGCCTGCAATCGGAAGGAGGGTGTCGATCAAGGCAACAGATGCCGGGTAGAACAAAGTTCAGTATAAAACTGGAGTTACAAAGCAGAAATATGCCAGGCATATTGAAATGCACTACAGTATGCACTACATATATTGAACATAGAGACTTATGAAATGGCAGGATTTGAATAACGTTATTATGACGTCATGAATGGCTTGGTGACTTGGAAATAGTTTCCCCGAAATGCTGTCCACGTCTTCGCGGGCGTGTAGCTCAGAAACTGCAGGGGTTTAGGTCTTGAGAAGGGCAGGGCTATAAACTGCACTGAATGATCTTCAAGATGGCTAGTTCAGTTCAAAACCCCATAGGAAAACGGAACACTGCTTTCAGATGGAATGTTTCCCATTTGAGGACATTGAGAGAACCATCAGATATGAGAAAACAACATCACTCATAACCATTGGTATACTTTTTAAATGGAAAAGACTGCTCTAGACAGCACAATTATCTGCCCAGTTAATGTACTCCTCAATGCGTCATGGCTGGCTGACGTCATCACATCTTACACTGCAATGATTAGCAGCCAATTGACGACCGTTGTATCTGGCAATCGTGCCCACGAACGCCAGATATGAACGACGCGACTACGGTTTTTATTGGCCTTGATCGCCGCAAAGCTTACGGAATGGCAGGATTCAAATGACGTTATTATCGCGTCATAAATGCCAAGGCAACTTTGAAATAGTCTTTCGATACACCTTACCCCATTTTCACGGGCGTGTTGCCCAGAAACTAGAGAGGCTTAGGTCTTAAGAAGGGCAAGATTATGAACGGCACTAAAACGTCTCCAAAATGACTATGCAACTTCAAACCTCCATATAAATGTGAAGCAGTCCCTTTAAGAGGCATTGTGCATGTAGCTTTGTCACTTTACCAGTGCAGTGAAAAGGAATACTAATGTTCCCATACGAATGAGAGGTACGAACATCAACGGCTGTAGATTTTCCCAGCAGGACAAATTACCAAGCCATCACCCGTACCCAATCCTCGACAAAGATGACGCGCCTCCCCACATGTACAAGACGCACGCTTACCCGAGGCGACGTTCGTCGTCACCATCAGAAGCACCATCACCCATGCTGCCAGTGCCGCGGTCGTGTCGCGGAACATGGCTGAACTCTGCTCGCGCCGCGCCGTCGGCTTGGCTTTATGCAATGACGGCAACCGGGCCGCAGCTGTGACAGGTGTTGCCTGGTATTTGACGGCCGTTCTGCGCACTGACAAACCGCGACGTGTTGTTGTGCAGGGACGGGGCAACTATTCTGTCAGAACCGCGCGAAGTGTACTGCGCAGCGCTGGAGGTAGCCTTGATCACGCCGCGCGCGGCGCCACCTGTGGGGAGTGCGGGGAACGTACCGGAAGGTCGGGGCACGCGAGGGAAGATGAGACTGGATGACCGGTAGGGCTGTGAGAGATGATAAACTGTGCCGCCCTGCAGGTGTTGGCTGCACCTGGATGCACCTTCTTGTCTGCCAGTTGAATGCTGCCTTAGCTAAACTGCAATTTGTGAGCCAACCTCGCCACCAGGAACGCATCCTGAACCATGAAGCATAGGTACTGTTTTAAATTCCAGCTGTGCAACTCTAGTCCGGTATTCCCCCTGGAACCAGCAGCGTCGCCACCAGTTCTCGGAAAACGTCGAGGCTGTCCAGGGTGCATTTCAGCAGCTAATCTTTAAGGGAGCCTGGCTGAAAATGCAGCACCATAAGCGCACTTAAGGATTGGATCGATCTACGGGCTGAAGATGCATCCGCGGGCCAGATAAGACCGGATCCGAAATTTCCACGACAACGTGGATTAGGACAAGATTTTCAATTTTGCCACGTCACACAGATTGTATTGAAAGCCAATCAAATGGAAATTATCACTAAACAGCCACAAAAATGCTTACTGGAGATATCAATTCAGAAGCGTGCATAGCTCATCCACATATTCCAGCAACAAATTTTGTGATGAACAGATCGCATTGACAACTTAGATGTGAGTGGACATGCATCTGTGAGTGTATGCGTATACGTTATCAAAAACTAGAGCTCTCATTCCTTTCATGGTAACTAAAATGCTTGCTAATGTGATAACATATCTTGTCATTATGTAGCTACTAATCCTCGTGGTCATGTCAGCAATCTCATTTAACCCCAGCAAGTAACATCATACTAAGCATATTCATGCGTTACATTTCATTGTAAGATGGTTATATACTTTTGTCAATGCGCATGACAATTTTCTTTTTTTGAAGGTGTGGCTGTGGCCTTTTGTGGCTATGCGGTGCACGATTACAGTTACGAATAGCTTTCGTATTTTTTTCACCATGAGCAGCAAAAGCGAGATTTGGGGTGCGTTCGAAGCGACCTGGACGACAAAGAATGTACGCCATTGATGTCTCAACAGATGCTACGCCTTTTGATGTTCACCGCCATCCGAACGACAAACATGTACGCGCCGTTACGTAGAGTCTTCGCCGCGGGCACGGGATCTTCTTCCGCCGTTTGGTTAAAGTAAGAGAGATATTTACGCTTCAAGTTCAATTACAAACCAATGTGCACGCCCCGGACCTGTAACAGAAAATGCAAAGGTGTGTTATACGCCGCAAACAGCATTATTTACTGTTTGCATTGTTCGGAATACGCGTAGTACGTCCGAACGTGAATGCTTGGATCCCGCGTGCACGTAAGTTACGAAGATGTGAACAGAAATCGTGTCGCGCTGCGAACGCGTCCGGCAGGCACAGATTCTACACGACGTCACGCAGAACAAAACATTCTTGGTACGCCTCGAATACAACCCTGGTGGCATCTGATTTTGTAATGGGGTTCAAAAATGACGAAAACTGCTTCATTATTTCGGATGAAAGAGCAGACATCGCAGACATCCATCAGACGACAGTCTGGCGCGTGGATCATTATTTTGACGCAGCCGGTAATATAGCAGAAAATAATGGTCGCGGTTGATGTGTCATCTGTTGGTGTGTCCGAGAACAGAAATACACCTGAAGTGTAGTATGTGAGGTGAGGTGGTTGTTTTAGTTTATGAATCAGGATAGCCTCGGTGCGGGCTAACGGGCAACCCGTCGCGCCAAAGCGCATGCTCATGGCCTCGGTCACCATGCCCCCCCACGCCGGATGCGAGTGTCCTGTCGCCGCCTGACCGAATCACTCCAGCCTCGCTTCCACGCCAAACCATTTAACACGCAGACCGCTGCCTGTATTTACCAGATCACTGAGACATGGACGAACTACGTGACCTGTCACGTCCCCTACCTCCTTCCTTAATTATGGAAGTGGGCTCGAACCATATTGCCCGTCCGGGAGGGTCGCATGGCCAGCGCCCCACCCCCCCCCCCCTAACTTGACGGGAGGTGGCCGTGGCCCGCGCCCGTCCGGTGGGGAGGGCCAAGGACACAGGAGCGTTCATGGCCCGGTAGGGAAAGGGACAACAGCCTGCGGATTCACACGTGCATGTTGGCACCGGTGTCCCGTTGTACGCAGGGCCAGATGTCGCCGCCTGGTTGTCACCACCACTTCTCCTCGCTCCTCGTTCCTCGGAACTCCCAGGGAGACTCCGTCCTCTCTGGACTCTCCACGCTCACCTTCACTTTCGCGCCTTCCCCGGACTCTCCGTCGTGACTTTCCCCGAGACTCTTCGTCTTTTCTGGTGGGCCCTTCCAGCTGGGTCGGCCAGCCCTCGTTTTCTTACGTGACCCAATAGATTTGCCGCCTCGCCCCCTCCGTCCAATGTGTCGGCGGGCCGTCCTGCGCTGCTTCCAGAGTCCGGCCCCAACGAGCCCCTGGGCCAGATCTCGGGTGTGGCGTCGCTGGCGACGACGCAAGGCCCGCCCGCCCTCGCCTCGGGCGGGCCCTGCACGATTCCCTCTGGCCCAGTTTCCACGTGGCGCGGAGCTTCTGATGCCAGCTGGAGCGACGGCGGCGCCGGCGAGGCGGGGTCCTGGGGCGAAGCGGCAAGCTCCTCACACGTTATTTGCACATTCCTGTGCGCATGTTGCGTCGCCGGTCACCTGGCTGTCGCCTCTTCGTATCTTGGTGCGTTGAACCACTTTGACAGAGGGGCCGCCGTTATGGCCGTTCCGGGGGGCACCTGGCGTCGCCTTGTTGATGCGGGCCCGATCGGCTGGAGCGTCGGGGGAGGGGGGGGGGGGGGGGTCCGCTTCCAGCTCTCAGGCCCCTCTCGACCTAATGGTCGTCTTCGGTTTAACGGGGAATTCCCGGCTATGCCCGGCTTGCTCGCCGTTCACGCTCCGCTGGGGAAATCCACCGACCCTGGACGGCTGGCGCGCAAAGTGGAAAGTAAGAAAATGTATGCTCACAAATCACTGATAATGGAGCCGGCTTCACGGACAATGACAATAAACACGGCCCTTCACGACGGCCCCGCCCCAGGCCCTGCCACGCGCGTGTCCGGAGCTCTGCGCTAAGCCTTGCGCCGGCGGCCTAGTAACCATCGCTCTCGGGCGGCACGCGGCGCATTCCAGCACCAGTGTAGCCCCGTCGATGCACCATGCGAACAACGCACGGTTGCCGCGCGTAACTGAGGAAACGAACAGGCATCGTAAGTTGTCACAACCTATGAATGCCATGCCTTGGCAGCACCCATTACAAGCGGCAAATGTTAGGCCCTGGGCCAAGGTTTTTGCCTTACTTGTCAAAACCTGACCTTTGGACTACGCCGAGCAACGATACGAGATGGGTCATGGGAATTCGAATGGGTTTGGTGGTCAGTTAATGGGATGGTGTTCTAGTCTGTGCGGTTTTCCAAAAGACACCCGGCAGTTATTCTGACCAAACTGTAGATACTGGCAGCAATGGCACCAAAGTGTACAAAAATGGTACGAAATTATAGTCTCACTGTACCGTCTCAGGCATTACTTTACACCTGATTTTCGCACACTTATCACCAAAACCTACATTTTCCATACATAACTTACTGTCTATGCGCATGGGGTGGCGTGATTGTCAGGTGTACAGGATCCAAAAAGCTTTGAATTTTGCTGCCAGGTTTGTGCTGAAGGCAAAAAAAACAGCCAGCAAATGCCCCCGGCTCTGGAATCTCTAGGCTGACTCCAGATTGATGACTTGGTGAAATAGAGGGACGTGCTTAAAAGTAATCAAAGCCCTTAGATGCAAAGAATCGCCCGGGCGTCCAATCTCCTTTCAGGCCGCGTTCCTCCCTTTCACTTAGGGAGACTGGTCCTCCACGTCAATGTCTCTCCACCTGCCCAGGTGCCGATTAGCAGTCACCAAGCGAGCCTTTCCCTACCGTGCCGCGGCAACTTGGAACGGCATGCCCCGACCACCACTATGTCTTTAGGTCTGACTTCTGAAGGATTAGAAACTCGCAGTTCAAACACACACACACACACACACACACACACACACACACACACACACACACACACACACACACACACCACACACACACACACACACACACACACCCACACACCACACACACACACACACACACACACACACACACACACCTTCACATATATATATATATATATATATATATATATATATATGCATGTGTGTATATTGTTTAAAACATTGAAATACAGCATTACTCACATGAATTAAGCAAATTTCCAGGCTGACCTATGGCATGATCTTGGCCTGATCCCATCATGACATCGACACGTGAGGAACACAGCATTATTACTTAGCCAGAAAGCATATACATTTAAAAAAGACAAAACACGCTCCATTAGGCCCATCCCCTGTAAGCTACCACGTGAAGAAGGTCTGGAGATCTCTGACCTTACCTTCAGCTTTCCTTTCACGGGGATTTCTCGTTTGTAGTTTTGTAAGCTGCATCCACAACATATTTCAGTTAGCGCATAACTTTGTTCCAATTAGGCACTTGCTCCCGAGAAAACTGAGTGACACTCTGTTACCCGGCTTTCCAGCCATAGGCGCCTGGCTTGGGCGCGAGCCAATCGCGGAATAATAAGCTGTGGAGCTGATATTATGGTCTTCTCGGAGAACAAACAATCTTCTTTTATTTCAACCAAAAATATTCAAAGGCCCGCAGTCTTAACTCGTTCAAAAAGCTCAACAAACTGCGGTAGGCATGTGTCGGACGTTCGCTATTGCAAGCCGAGTACACTTGTGACGTCATCAGTCGAATCAGCGGAATTCGGCCCGCCGGTGACACGTTTAGTGCTAGGGCCTTCGATGGAAGTAATACGTTCCGGATGGATTAATTTTTTGGATTAATATCCTTCTCTGGTATGTTAGATTGTGCAAACCAACACATTAGCCGATGACGCCAGTCGGAGCAATTATCCATCCGTCAATCGTGCTAATAATGCCTCGCCTCAATTCTTCAGTAAAGGTGTAAGCAAATGCGTTGTTTGCACAAGAGTCGCAGTCGTGGTGTTCGAAATTTGCTACCAGTGCTGACGAGTTCCCTTATCGGAAGACCATTCACTGACGCTAACGCTACGTTTGCGATATGAACGGTAAGTAAGTGATGAAAAAAACACAACATTTTGGGGTCATCTGATAACTGTGTGCTTCCAGCACAAACCTAGGGACACTTGAAATATTTGACCAATGGAAGCGAGCTCATAGAGTTAAAGGATAGCAATCGATATAAATCAAAATGCCCGGCAATCCTACGTGCGCAAAAAAAAATACAATTCGACTAACACACGCCATTTAAGTGGAAAGCTTCACATTTAAAGATGTGGAACATTCCCTTTAGCCTTTAAGTCTTAAAACGGCCACAACTTTGAACTACAAGAACACTTTTGAAATGTACTGTCTCGGTCCAAAACTCCATACAAGTGTGGAACAGAGCCAGTGAATGTTACCGTAAAGGGAGCATGCTTTGTTATTGTTTTTTTTTCTATTTATTGATAGTTTCAGATGCGTCTATTTTGATCAGTAATGCCAGTTTCCTCAAAATCCGACTGAAAAGCTCAGAATTGCTATTTTAAGCAGCCACTCTTGCGGAAGTGAATTTACTCCTGTTCACCATTTTGACAGCAATACATTTCATTTGTCCGGCTTTTCCCAACATATGTGTTCTGCAAAGTTTGCAAGACACCTATTTGTAAAAATGCTCGCGTGGCGATTGCTACGAAGGCTGAAACCATTCGTTGCACAGAAAAAAGGTGTGCAAGCATGAGACTATTATCCCGCAATTTAACGAATCGTTATACCATAGGTTGGATTTTTTGCTTATGGCTTTTAGCACAGTGGCTCTTTTTGAAACGCACTTTGGGTGAAGGGAACGAATTACCGCACGGTTATATTCACGCACCGGTTCAAACTTCAACCAATGTGCTTCTTGGTAACTGGCCCTTGCCGCCCGTTGTGCCAATCACAAACTTCCATTTGCTATGACATCATTTATACCAGAGGTGCCACTTTTTAAGCCCGCAG